GTGCCATTCTTTGTTAAATATAGTGTTTCTGCATGCATATTTTTTAAGGTGGTCGGCAGCTCAAACATTTTAATTCTATATTTAAACTGTTGTATAATGTCCTACAGTAATGACATACAAGATACTAACCTTTAATGGCAGTACTTCTTTATTTATACCATAAAAAAAAGACATAGCTTGTGTCCAGCTACATAAACCTGCAACATCACCACAAACTTTCTTAGCTGATGCTAGATTATAATCTTCAGCATCAAGATATGGTTGTAGCAATTCCACCATCTCTGCATTTATAGAGTCTTTTGGATATGTCATTAAATTCTGAAGAAATCCACCACCACTCATTAGCTGAAAAACAAAAAAATCAACAATTAATTGAAGACTATACATATTAACTATTTTAATCTTGTCCATAAAAAGTAAAAGTGATTTCTTCATGATTTAATTAAAGGGCTTAAACTTAGAGTGCCAGGACTTACCTTAAGTGAATCACCCCACGATGGTTTGATATGACCTGGTCTGTCTGCATCAGAAACCACAGGGCCAAGCCTTTGTTGGAACAGTAATAACACACAGTCCATAATACGCATGATTAAATGTGGTGGCTTAGCAAGTTTTCTAACAGTTGAAATGTGAGCTGGTTTGAGAGTCTGAAAATAGAGATAAAACACGCATTTAATTCAGCATTTTATGTATGTTGGAACTCATCAAGATGGGAAGATAGTAAAATCAAATACATAGTTAAACAAGCCATGCATGGCACAGTCCCTGTCAGTTATCAAATTTAAGATATACAGTTTTGTTTATAGTAATATAGCTGGAATATAACCATGTCAGGAATATGATTATGATGATTAACAATTAAATGATTGACATTTGTATCTGATCGTCAAACGAGTACTTGTCCACATTGAGAGATATTGCTCTGGAACAGCATTAATTAAAACAAAATCAGCCATTTTGAATACATGTACATATCTATAACATGATGTATAATGAATATATAAAATTTTAACATAATCAATCAAAGCATGTCTGAGATATGGCTCTAGAAGCCCATTCATTAAAACAAAATGGCCACTAGTCAGCCATTCTGAATCCGATCTAAAAAATAGGCCAGTGGCCTGTTGCTCAACGGCTATTGTACAAAAGATTAGTGCTGTATATGCCACAACTTTTCGTTTAAATTTGTACTTTTAAATGAAATATCGCCAAACAACCACACAAAGTTGTCAATGGAATAATAAACACATGTATGCCTAACACCAAAGCATTGGAAATAGTGGTTAGTTGAAATTCCATTTTTAACCCAAAATGACAAAAATACTTGCCAAAATTAGAGAATTAAAGATATGGCCATGGGATGAACAATCTAGTAGATGTCAACACAAGGTACATGCACACCAAGTATCAAAGCATTCAGGCTACTGGCTACCTATAGACCGCCACAGTAGCACAGAAGAAAATTTAGAGTTTTGGGGGGCTAATTTGCATAATTTTTCGGCAGATCGACTTCTCATGAACAAATTACCATCTACACTCATCACGGCATCCACACACCAAAAATCGAGTCAAACGGTTCGGCGGTTTTTTAGAAGAAGTTGTGCACAGACAGATAGATAGACACACGACATACGCAGGACAGAAATCCATCCCATAGGCTCAGCGGACCTATGGTCCGTTGAGCCAAAAATAAAATAACGTGCATCAGGAACCCGTAATGTCTAATGTATGTACCAAGTTTGAACAAAATCCATCCATAAATGCTTGATATTTGATGATTTTTTAGCACAAAAATGGCCTCCATTTGGCCATTTTTAATAGGACCGTCAAACCAATATATCTGTATATCTATGACATGATGTATAAAGAATATTTAAAATTTGAACATAATCAGTCACAGCAAGTCAGAGATATGGTACCAATTGGCCATTTTGTATCTTATCTGAAAATAAAATGTGCATCAAGGTCCTATAAAGTCCAATCTATATACCAAGTTTGAACAAAATCCATCTGTAAACAGCCGAGAAATGCTTGATTTTGATGATTTTTACAACAAAAATGGTCGCCATTCGGCCATCTTGAATCAGGTCGTGAAACAAATTGATGTGCACATGTATAATTCAGTGCTCGAAATTAACTTTTTTTTTTGGTAGTCCATCTGGGCTACCACTTTTTAAATCTGGTAGCCCAAGATCAATCAGTGGTAGCCCAAAATTTTTAAAGCAGTATTTATGCAAATGTCATATGTTCAGTACGTCTTTTTGACAGGTAGGTAATGTTTCATATATTTGAATGTATCGGTACTAATTTCCTATAGACAGGAGAACTAAACTGAAATAAAGAGTTCATGTTTTATAGTTTCACTGCTTTCACTTATTGTGCATTGTGAAATACTGCAAATTCCAAGTTTGAAGTTTTAATGTTACAGTATTCAATCTTATTGTCACAAAACTTAAATTGCCACAAAAAATAAATTGTCTTGATTGTAATTTTCTGAACACTTGAACTTCATTAAATTCATCATTAAAAAATATCTGTGTTTATCTTTTGTGAAGTTGTTTTTTCATTAATTACAGAAACACAATTTAATACATTTTACAGTAATGAATAGCAGCTTGGAGTGTTTCAAAACAATGGGCATGAGAATTGGGTCAACAGTAACAATAAACAACAAAACAGAAAAAAGAAAATGAGAATGACTTAAAAATGAGTTTCATATGTGGTCAAATTGATAAAATTTATTTTCA